AAAAGGTAAAGTACACATAATTGTCTGCCCAAACATCATCTTTTAGCTTACAACTAAAGCTAAAGAGTGTCTACATTAGCAGAGCTTGAGTGGAACTGCTCACCAGGTATTACATCCGGATCCGATGATAAGGGTGGCTGAAATAATTCTTATGATGAGTCATGGTCATCACTGTTGCTAATTACTACCACAATTTGATATTAATAAGTATTGTAATTTTCATTGTTATTAATAAATGTAATGTCAGTATTACAAATCTAATCTTGAATCAATCCTAATCCTATCTTATTTTTGGGAAATATTTTTACAATTTCAAATGTGACGTCACTTTGTGTGTTTTTTTTTAGAATTTCAAACGTGACGTCACTTTGTGCGTTGAGGCTTAAGCTAACTCGGCTGTGTATTTTTATGTGTTGGATTAAGTTTTTTATGTAATATATCCTTTTTTATTCTGTAGTTGATCCCAACTTCGGTTTTATCATGTATATCTATTATATAGTCATTTTATAAAATTTACTGTTTGCAAAATTATTAATTATTCTAAATAATAAGGATGTTCTTGTCCCAGGCAGAAAACCCTGGCCGTGTTAGGCGCAACTTTTTGGAAGTTTTGGTCCTCGGTGCTCTTCAGCTTTGTACTTGTTTTGGCTTTCAATCTTTTTTCATCTGAGCGTCACTGGTTGGTCTTGTGTGGACGAGACGCACGTCTGGCGTATTGAATTTTATGCCTAGTACCTTTTGTTAGCTATTATTTCGTGTGTTGTTTTGTCCTATATGTTCTCCCATTTATTTGTATTGTGGTCCTGTCATGTGATGTTGTCGTTTTGGTGTTGTGTTTGAAGTTGCCATAAAAGCGGGAGGTCTGGCATGCCACAAAACTAGGTTCAACCCACCATTTTTTTCTTAAAATGTCCTATACCAAGTCAGGAAAATGGCCATTGTTATATTATCAGGTTATAGTTCGTTTCTGTGTGTGTTACATTTTAATGTTGTGTTTTTGTTGTGTCGTTGTTTTCCTCTTATATATGATGCGTCTCCCTCAGTTTAAGTTTGTAACCCGGATTTGTTTTTATCTCTATCGATTTATGAGTTTCGAACAGCGGTATACTACTGTTTATTTGTCATGTTGTATAGTTGCCAACGGTGGTATACTTGTAATAAATGGAATCTGCATAGACTGTGCTGAGCTTGCATGACCAGTTTGTGATGAAGGATTCAGTATGCATGAAATCTCACTGGTCGGCATCACGTTATTGTCATTTACTAGTTGAATGCCGGAACTGTGCAACTTTGCAAATAATGCTTCAGCAATGTCATTAGCGGCTGGACTGGTATGAAGATTATTGTTGGAAGAACTCATAATAATATTGTCCGGCAAATCAGCTCGTTGCGGTTGTGTCCTAGTACTCATTCGTTTCTTTGCCCTGGGTCTATTTAATGGCGGCAAAGCAGAAGTCTCCATCTCAAAAACATCCCCAATTGTCGCCTCAGTCAAATTTCCGGGAGCAGCTTTCCTTTTTGTTCTTTGCTTTGGCATTCTGAAATAATTAAGAATTAAAAAAAAATATGTGTGTATACTATTTTAATTGTTAGTACAATATTTTCTTAATATGACCAATTGAGGAAATTATGATCCAAAAATTTTAGGCATATTTATAAGCCTATACATGTGTAAATAAATACGTAGATTCAACCAATATTGAATTTAAATTTTATATATACTGATATAATAACTCCAGAACTACAAATATTATATGTATAGAAAACATGTAAAATTAAATTTTACAACCAGTTTACCCTATTGTGACACAACCATATAGGGTAATAAACCATTTAGTATATTCCTCTGCTTGAACCAAAGTCAATACACATGTATGTATATGGAAAATGATCAAATAGTTAATCCACATGTAAAACATAACATGTAACTGAACCATGTAATAATATAAGACATTAGTAATGTCAACCATTCTTGTGTCACAACCATAATAAACCAAAGCAAGACAGAGGAAACATATGTTAAATAAAATAAATTAAGTAGTAAGTACCATATTTTCAGTAAATAACCATAATATTTTGTCAAGTTACCACATGACAAGAGCCTCCGTATCAAATTTTTGTATAGTAGATAATTGCATCAATATCAAACAAAAGTAATAAAATAACTATTTAACTTCGAGCTGGACTACCTACAGCTGCACGAATACTCTTGGCATATTTGACCATACCTATAGCGTTTAAATGCTCCTTGTCATTTGATAACAGTGCTCGAGTGTTTATCCAAAAACTCCTGTGCTGCCAGTAGCTAATATCACAACGTTGATATACATTTTTTCGTAGCTCTTTGTTTATCTCTATAACTTTGTTATTAGAATTGTCTTTCAAACCCCCGGAGTATCTCGGGAGCAACTGACCTATAATCACGTGACGAACATTATAGCATTTGATTATGGAATCGGCAAAAACTATTATATCTCTTGCTAATCTAGCGGGATTTGATTCAGCGGATAAATCATTGCCGCCAATTTGAAGAAAAACACAATGAGGCTTATAATCATCAATAATTTTGATAAATTCTTGCCTTTGAACGCATTTTGGGCCCGGACGAATCGTACTTCCACCCAAACCGAAATATTCTACTTGAATGTCTGTACCATCAAACCCCAAATTAAACCATGCCTGATAGCCATTTTTAAACACAAATGATTCCAATCTATGAATAAAACAGTGACCAAAAATGAATGCACGTCTGACCATGGTTCAAAGGCAAAAATTGAAATTATAAATAAAATAATTTAAGGTTCACTTTTACCTAAAATATAGATGTACTTTCAACAAAGATGGACCTTCCTCAGATCTTTGGAATTTAACGAGTAGTTGGAAATCAGCTCTGGCAAAGTCTTTAAATGCAGTCAGCTCTCTGAATCTCACACACAAATCTGCATACAATAAGTAACCTCCTTTTTTGAAAAAACAACTACAACCTCACAATTTCAGCTTCAGCTATACACAGCGATTTTTACAAAAAGTTTCAAATAAAAGATGTTTCTTCTTTCAGAGAAATTAGCTGAATGACTGCATGTCCAAGTTCATGCAATAATCTGATCTTAACTGTCCCTCCCAATAACTGGCTTATCCACTTCCTTATTTGACCATAGCATACATTGGCCTCAGGAGGGAGATAAAGTTTCTACACTCATGATGTACAATACTGCCCTAAACCCCAGATGGCTAATCCCCAGATAAAATTACTACACAGTAGATATTACTTAATCCTCAATGATTATCTGAACTTGCAGACATAAATGTTTTCATTTCCAATAAATTTATATTCTAACAAACTACATTGTAAATTTGGATGACATCTTCTATTGAACATTAATTTTGCTCTCATTTTCATTTTTTTTTTCTTCAAAATTTCATGTTTCGTAGCCAGGCATCATCCTTTCCAGTCTTTCATTAATGATGGCCATTTTATTTTTCGGGTCTCCTTTTCTGTGATCAACATGCGGAATAAAAACACTATAGCCAATGTTGGTCTCCTCCAAAATTGTGTTCAATCTGTCAAACATGGGTTCTGTTTGTTTTTCTGTAAGTTTAGTTGCATTTCTTTGCTTAGTTTAAATTCTTGTTCGTTGAAACATAGAAAACAAATGTTTAATAACATTCATCCCTTTTGTTTTACAGCAAATTACATGATCTGTGCATTTATGTTGGAATTATTAATTTCAATTATTTTAAACTAATTTGTTTATAAGTTAATGTGGTTCAACACAGTTAAAAAGAATATCACTGGAATACTGTTTTAAGATTTGATAATTGGACAGGGAATGAAAACTGTCCACTTATCCCATAAAGGGGTTATACAGGTGATTTAATTGTCTATATTTGATGATTTATTTATTTTGAGGGCCTTTTTTTCATTGATAATCCCTGAAATCATTTCAGGGAATTTGTAAAAAGATTTCGTGCTTCCAAAACGCTTTTCTGCATTCGCCTTCTTTTGGAATGCCCAAACCCAACCATTTTGAAAGCCATGGATGTATAAGACTTAAACGTGAACACGTGAAGAGCTATATGACCAAAAGGGACACAAAAATAGCCAAATTCATCTAAGGTCAACTTGGCCTGAAGGAGTTGGAATCTTAGTTTCTCGATAATTTCTCAATTTATCAACAGATAATTTAAGTAAAGTTTGTTAAAAGTTATGTCGGTACCGAGTTAAAGGGGTCCTCCGCTAGGGCAGCTCGTGGAGGATGGTTATATATACTTTGTCTTGGGAAACACCATTACACAAATTCGATTTTGGTTTGTCGTATAAAAAGGGACGAATTGGATGTATATTTGTCTTAAAAACATGTGCTGAATGTTCTCCACATAACTGCATCGAATTTCATAGAAGTGACGTTAAAACTCGTCTAAGATGTTAGGCTTATAATTTGGTAAGCCAGACTTGCGTTAATTCAACATAAGACTCATCAGTGGGGCTCGAATCAAAACAGTTGGAAGTCCAAATCAAACACGAAATTGAAAAGCATTGAAAAACAAAAATTCCAAAAAGTTGTGCGTAATACCGTTAGGTCATTATATGCCTTGTGTTAAAAAACCTCAGTGCTTCGAATAATTTTACATCTGTACACAAAGAATTTAGAGATAGAGAAAATGATCGTATTTGACGGGAAATTAATTAAAAATAACGAAAATTTATACATAAGGCTGGTTTAGAAAAATATTTTTGCTTCAGTCCAGTCTTGCAATTATGACTACTGTTTTTGTGTAAGAGTGTAAATAAACACTGTTAAACTCTCGTAATGGTAAGGATATTCGTGTGAGAAATCCTCAGTCAAAAACTTATTTCTTTGTCACATTCGTATACGCTTTTCTATTCTCTCGATATGTATTTATAAATTTGTCAAATGTAGAAGCTAGAAAACATTTTTTACAATCTTACACTTGATCATACTTATAGTTGTTTATTCATTTTGGTTTCATTTTCATAGTTTAGACTTTGTTACTGGTACAACACCAAGAAGAACAACCACGGTATCTAAAGAAAGCACTGACAAAAGGTTAGTAAGTGAAAAAGACAATACCGTTTGTTATATTATTTGTTTGGTGTCTTATATAAATTACATCCTTCCAAACATGTCTGTAAAACGTGTTCTAACTGGGTAACATTTGATATGTCAATAAACATCGTGCAGGTGGAATTGTGGGTGCTATGTCTGTTTGTTTTTGAGATATGAATCGTAACCTAATAAAGCTCGACACTTCCAATGTAGACTGTACTTTCTTATAATAAAATATATTTGCCCGCGCTGGTCAAATTTTTTAGAGCTTACGTGAACAATGAGGTCGAAAACAAGTCTAAATAATCCCTAGCTACGTTGCGTTTGTAAACGGCATGGAATAATTTATATCCATTTCACAAGTAGGATTTTGAAATAACTTTACCCAGCTAACGGAAATTGATATATACCCTCTAGCACTTAAGGTAGCAATACACAGTTAGGAGTTTGGTTTCGCATTTTGGCCCCTGTGGATTTTTCAAATATGAAAGTTATTGTGTAATAAAATTCATTTTTAGACAGCTGAGTACTAATTTAGCCTTCAAAGGTGGTTTATATTAACATCAAGATTATTTTGTACATGTTTTATGGGCTATTTTCTGTTTGACTCTCCGTATTTTCATAGCTAGACCGGTCATCGGTCCAGAAATTAATGTAATGTTTACAAACACTTTTTTTCTACACGAAGTTTTTGACGCAATTTTACAAATAAATGAGACGAAAGACATATGATTTTCATTGGATTAATTGAAAGATATATGTAAACAATTTCAGAAAAGGTATTACTTGAAGTGATTGAAATTCTACTTTTGGCCACATTTTGGGGAAATATGTGATATCTTTCCTCCCCCCCCCCCTTTTTGCTATATTTTATAACAAAAAATTGCCGATTGTTGCCATGGATACACCAAAAAGAAATTATATTTTACCATTTTATATACTGGATATGAAATCTATGGAAGATTCTGATTACATACATATGCACATATATGACACAAACAGTAAGCTTAATATTGCAAGAAGGCAATGAAAAGGGGATGGTAAAATTTATGACGGGAAATTTTAATATTTTTTCCTAACTGTTTATTGCTACCTTATGGCATATTTACCAAGCTCAGAATTGTATAATTTAAGACTTTTCATACCACAAATATATTGATATTTAGATTCTAAATCAACTTCTGAGGGGATTAAGTGTTTAAGAATGACAATACATGTCAATTTTATTGTTTACAGTCCTTAGCAATCAAAATTAGACATTTTGACACAAGGCTTATAATTGTACTCTATTTGCTAAACCCTTGCTTCTGAAGGATTGCACAGTGTATGTAGTAGCCTAAGTATTGAATGTTTTGTATTTTTTCTTGCGAATATATCAATTTATTATTTTTATCAAGATTTCATGTTACATTTTGACATATATTAAATGTATAGTTGATTCAGCTGTAAGAAATTGATTCCCCATTACCAAGTTTTTTAATCAAGTCTTTGGTATACATTAAACATAAAGATTAACATTTTCATGCTTGAAATTGTTAAATTTGTACAATTTTGCATCATCAGAAGTCTTATAAAGATTTTCAACATTAAAAAACTGACAAAAGAGGTATAGTTTTTAAGATTTTGCCAAAAATTGAGGTAGAAACAAGATTTTACACTTTGACTTGGCACCTTTCTTTAAATCAGTTTTTGTCGCGTTTCAGTGTCAACTGCTAACCTTCATAAAATATTCATTACTCAACCAATTTTCAAAAATAAAAAGCCATTTTACTCGTTTTAGCTAGCAGAACACAGAAAATTAGTTAAAAGGGAGAATTTGAAAAAAAATATTTACTATTAAGGTAGCAATACACAGTTAGGAGTTTGGTTTCGCATTTTGGCCCCTGTGGATTTTTCAAATATGAAAGTTATTGTGTAATAAAATTCATTTTTAGACAGCTGAGTACTAATTCAGCCTTCAAAGGTGGTTTATAAGAACAACAAGATTATTTTTTACATGTTTTATGGGCTATTTTCTGTTTGACTCTCCGTATTTTCATAGCTAGACCGGTCATCGGTCCAGAAATTAATGTAATGTTTACAAACACTTTTTTTCTACACGAAGTTTTTGACGCAATTTTACAAAAAAATGAGACGAAAGACATATGATTTTCATTGGAATAATTGAAAGATATATGTAAACAGTTTCAGAAAATGTATTACTTGAAGTGATTGAAATTCTACTTTTGGCCACATTTTGGGGAAATATGTGATATCTTTCCCCCCTTTTTGCTATATTTTATAACAAAAAATTGCAGATTGTTGCCATGGATACACCAAAAAGAAATTATATTTTACCATTTTATATACTGGATATGAAATCTATGGAAGATTCTGATTACATACATATGCACATATATGACACAAACAGTAAGCTTAATATTGCAAGAAGGCAATGAAAAGGGGATGGTAAAATTTATGACGGGAAATTTTAATATTTTTTCCTAACTGTTTATTGCTACCTTAAAACATGTTTAAGCCACCGCGAAAGGTTATTGAAGTTGTATAGGTTTGGCATATTTCCGGTGTCGACGTAATACATGTAGTTTTAATTTGGGAGGTTCGAAATGAATTTATTTATGGAATCCGAACAGTTCTGCTATTTTGGGTTACTGATTCTTGAATGGTTAATAGTTTACAGCTTGATTCGGCTTTGAAAATGTTTTGTAGAAGTGGATTATTTTCTGTGAACGTTTCTATTCCTCTTGCAATAGCATAATAATTGGGATGTTTTATATCCGATGATATTATGACCAGACGAAAAACATATCAATTATCCTTGACTATTATCTTTCGGACTTTGATAATTACACTTTATAATTTATTGCCAACAGTTACTCTTGTTCAAATTTTCCTTTAACTATCTTTTGGTTTAGATGCATTATTTAACTGATCCGACGATGGAGGTTCGTATAGTTTAGTAGATTATCTTGACATTGGACAATAATTGCCTAATTCATAGTTACATGTATTTTTTTTATTATCATGGTTCTATATACTTCTTAAAAAAATAACTGATATTTAGTTTTGGGAAAGGACGCTAACCGTAAACACCGAACTCAATATTGTAACATCTTATATATTCTTGTTGGATCGTTTATTAAATTGTTGAACTTTACCTGACTTGATCTTCATTCGATAGCCAGCAAATATTCTGGTTATATTATACGAGACGTATCTTCAATAGTTTTGCTTGATGTATTTGTATAAAACTATTCTCTAAGATATGTCTATTTCCTTGGTCTCATGTAGTTCTGAAAAACTGAAGATTATCCATTTGAATTATTCTAAGTAGGTGGATCCAAATTTTCAAATAGTGTGATTGACGTCGCCAGCTAGCTACCGAGAAATAAGATTCGTATCGTCTGTTTTATGGATTTTTATCTCAAGGTGGCTTTGTTCAAGGGGTTTAAAATAACTTGAGGAAAAAAGATTTTTTTATTATATACATAATTAGTAAATATCAGTAAATTGTTTGTGTAATACAATCAATGGCAATCGTGCTGTATCAGCCATCCGGGATGATATCAATATAAGTCATGGTTGCAAAGGCTTTATCAAACCCCTAATGTGTATAACGTCATGTCACGTGAAAAATTTGTTGTGCTTGAGGTACATGTATAAAATAAACTGTATATGATATGGCTATTTACAATATCACACACCTTATCAACCCTCAATCTATATATTGGGGTCTCGGGTTGATACAGATGATTTTGAAAATGCCATATGATATTCTAAGATATTCTAAGAAACTAAGGTTTCAACTCCCTCAGGCAAAGTTGACCTTATATTGATTTTGCTATTTTTAAGGTCCTTTTTGTTCATATAGCTCGTCAATTGTTTCGGTTCTTATACATCCTTGGCTTTCAAATAATTGGCTTTGAGCGTTCTTGATGAAGGTAAATCCAGAAAACCGCTTCGAACGCATGAAATTTATAACGTGTTGTTTTGGGTTTTTACAGCGCTGTGTCGATACCACTGCTGATGGACTATCAGTCATAGAGAGTATCATCAGCTCAAAAGTCAGTACTTCGGTACTGACATGATTTATAACAAACCTTTCTAAAATTGTCCGAAATTATAAAGTAACTAAGGTTTCAACTCCCTTAGGCAAAGTTGTCCTTAGATTGATTTTCTAGGTCCTTTTTGTAGCTCTTCAAGTGTTTCGGTTCATATGCATCCTTGTCTTTGAAATATTCGGCTTTGAGCCGGTTCCTGATGAAGGTAACTCAAGAAAAGTCCTTCGGACGCATGTAATTTTTAACGTGTTGTTTTCATTTTATCTCTATATTTATTATGAAATAAAGAATTAATTCATAAAAAGATTAGAAAATGAAATCAATGATGCATATTGATGTTATGTATAACATGTCTTGCGGAGCAGGATCTGCTTTCCCCTGTTGGGTTACTCTTACTCGGTCTTGATTATCTATGTAGTGTTTTGTAGACTGTTGTTTAGCTTTTCGTCGTATTTGGTTTTTTTCCATGATTTTGTCGGTTCTTCATCGACTTGGAAATTTTGGTTGTCGCTTTGGTATGTTTTGCCCCTTTTTATACTATACTAACAAGTTTCAGTATCTTAAATTCAAATTGAATGTGATATTTTAAGGGCATACGATAAAGTTACAGGGAGGTATTGACGTCGCTAACATAACATGTTATTTTTGGTGACGTCAAAATGTGACATATAGTGAAAAGAAGTACTTCCCCACTGATTTTAATCATTAGCTTGAAAACGAGTACATCGACCCGTCTTTTTAAAATGACATTTGATTGTATAATGTAAGATAATTGTTTGTACGAATTTTTATGAACAATCCACTGATGTTTTTTTTTAAATAAGATGAATAATATATATAATAAAAAAATGCCAAATTTTTTTCTAAAATCATGAACATTTAATAAAAATTAATTATTTCCAAAGAATTGTTACACAAATTTAGACTAGATTTAAAAAAAAGAAGGTATTCCAAATGTTTTAACGAAAATCCGATTGTGTTTATCTTTAAGTAAGGTATGTCTGTCCAAGATAGCAATGTAAAAAAATTAGTAAATGTCTAAAATTTCGACCCGAATTTATCTCTTAAAGGAGCAGATGAAGATATATTTTTATAACATTTTTGAATTGAATAGATGAAAAAAAGCTTGAATGCAAATTTTCGACAGAAAATCGTCGTGGGGTTAAAACTGTATCGTATGCCCTCAAGGTGGTAAGGGAGTCTTTCGCCATCTTGTATTGTAAAATAGCAGAACACAATAGCCTAGGTCTAGATTTTCAATAAAGACAGCAAATTTCGATACAGAAATGCAATTTACTAATAAAAATTTTCAAGTAAAATAACAAATTTATGTAATTTATCTTATCATTACTTATATTTTACAAAGGTAGAATATTATTTAGTTGATTAAATTTTTTTCTAACTTAGCGTATTGAGGGGAGGTAACTCAGAAATTGTATAATTTATAAAGGAATCTACAGTATTTTTTTCTATTTCAAATTATAGTTGGAAGCAACATAAGGTGACCTAGTTTTTTTTCCTTTGATATTCTGAAGTATTTCATAAGAGCTATCTTCAAAATTCATTTAGTGTACTTATATTAACATTATGATATTTTTTCTCCGTATAATCCATACACAATGTGTCATTTTCTTTCTCTTAACCAGTAGATTGAAAACAAGCTCGGTGACCCATTATTTTTATTATGTTTATGAACATATCACAATATATATACTACATTTTGGTAAAGTATAAATAAATCTATCTTTTATACTCAAATTCTACCTTAAGCGTAAGTTTTAGTTATTTTTCTGTATTACAGAATTGTTAAGACGTTAAAAATACACTTGATTAAGTGCTCACATCACACACTTTCTGTTATTTAGCTCCTTCGTATATTATCAGGTGTGAACACTCAAAAAACATCAAACATCGAGAAAGTGAAATAACCTAATAACTCTTTAACACATAATTATATACTATTTCAATTAAACCTTTTGACTTTTCTCCTCTATTAACAGATATTTCTCATTCTAATTTTAAAAATATTAAAATAATTAGGCATGATATTTTAGATTTAGATCAAATGTGACTTTTTTCTTTTTAGGAAAATGGGCGAACAGAAGGCAGGAACTAACTTTGCCAAAGAAGGGTAATCTTTTAGTAAATTTATGTACATAATAATCTTTCATAAAAATGTAAACTAACAGCAAAAAACATCTTACAGGTATACTAAATGAATTTCTTCAGAACATTTTTCTTGTACAGTTGCTATGCTACGGATGCTGTTATTTGTCATCATAATGCCACACCTACAAGAAGATGACACCTTCCGAAATGAAACTTTTTTAAGTTTGTTGTCCCATAAATAACGTACAATGTTACTGGAAAATTTGGTTATATACATTTGAGTTTATAATCATACATTGTTTAAATCCTTACATTCATGCGTGTCATTGTGAGATGACCGTGCCTTTTTAATTTTGACGGGGACTAAATATTAAAGACAAATCATTAAAAACAGCATATCTTTATTTTCACGCACCATCTAAAAACTAAAATAAGGCGATCATACCACATCTCCTTATTTTTATATATAGTATTGTTTTAGGGTCCGACATAACAGCATAACACCCTGGAATAGCCTGACATCGAACCAAATTCAACCTGACTACAACCCCCCCCCCCCCCCCCTAGAGAATTTTAAAAATTGGACATGGTTTTTTTTATAGGTTGAATTCAGTTTACTCTCTCTCTCTCTCTCTCTCACACACTCATTGGTAACATATTAATAGTTAATGTGAAATATTTTTGTTAAAAAACGACCTGTGGCAAAACGGCAAATTATGATTTATATCATACCGTCTCCGAGGAGACGAAGACTTAATGCTTTCCTACTACCTGATTGGAAGTTATTACTGATTCTATAATAGTTAAATCTGTTGATTGGTTACGACAATTCGAATCTTGTAAATGTCGTTTAATCCCGTAGAGTATCGGATTTCAACTCTTTGTATATGTAAGAGAATGATCATTCCTTTCTTCACGAATAAGTACGAGCGTTGGCGTTAGTTCGTTAAGAAGAAGAAGAAAAAAACACTAAACGATTTTATACAATTAAGTTTGATGTTAATATCTTCAAAGACCAATGCATACTTCTAAAAATTCAGAAATTGGGCTAAACAAATAATAAAAAAAATGTGATAAATATGAAATGCTGGAATTAATGAACATTTAATCAACTTAAACGAAACCAAGTTTGTCAACAGTCTTCAAAACTATGATCGGCGAGATAAATCTCACACGAATAGCAGTTGTACTAAATAAATTAATTTCAGTCGGGAGATTCGATCAAAATCGTTGAAGTATTTCCAGTCTTTGATACTACATTGTATATGAATGAGTGGCGGTATCACTACTACACTCTTGTGCAGACGCCAAGAAGCGGCAGAATGATTTCCACACGCCCGAGATGGAATAATAAACATAATCAATTCTCTTTCTTCACAGGATGAAATCCGAAGTAATGCTATAGGCCGATTTCTTTGACTGTTCCGTTTAGTCAATGAATCTTCTGAGTTGTGCTTTTATAACACTTCACCGTATAAATACGCTAACGTTTTTGGATGAAAAAAAGAGTTCTTTACCTCTTTATATAAATATATCTGTAGGACTCTGAACCGCGATATTCCGAACCGCGATGGTCACGCTGATGTGCGATTTGAGCTCAAGTGCGTTTTTGATCATTCTGAATTGCGATGGTGGCATTATGACGCTATCTTGTTTATAACTACGCCGAGGTGCGATGGTGGTAACGCTGAACTACGATGGACTACATGCATAAACTATATTTTCAATGCTTGGCATGTCGATGTAGAAGTCAGTTTGTTTGTAAGAAGCAGCTTTTCGGGATTATAAGTTAATAAGGGGCTTATAAACCTTTAATAGTACGGGAAACGGGGAGTGATTGGTGGAGAGGAGAAAGTTAACCTACTGTGGCGGATTTTAAAATCTACAAAAGGTTCTTTTTTAAGTACGATGGAACATGGCATTCTCTCAAATACAAACGGGTCCGCAGACAGACTCTCCGTAGTATAGTATTACGGTAAACGAGGAACTCATGAGGGGAACCAAGTAAAGATTTATGTTCACTCGCCGAAAATCAAAGAGGACGATCTCTCATTTAATATGCAATTGAAACTACGGACATACATAGACAATAACAAATGCAAATTTATCTACTCTACTAACTATTTACAAAATCTACTTCTCATAGGCCTAATATTTGAACATCTATAGATTTTAAACTAGCCATCATGCGTAATGAAGACCATAATACATCAGCGAACGGACCATCGCACTTCAGCGTGACTATTGCACTTCAGCGTCCCCATCGCACCTCCGAGTCCTACAGGTGTCAGACCACCAATTCACCCACTCCAATTTAGAACGAATGTAAAATTAGCCCTTCCCTGACAAAAAATAGTGCTTTTGATGTCATTGTTTACTTTAACTAACCAACAAATTTGCAGAAATGAAACTTTTGTTGAAAGAGAAATATATATGCAGACCATTTTGAGCCAAAATTTTCTTGTCCATGAGTTTGCATTAAAAGTTGAGGATTAATGCGCTCCATAGTATACTTATTTAAGATTTCCAGAAAATCAGGCGTTATTTTTGGCAGTACTTGTCTCCCGAACGTTAGTATTTCCTTAGAAGACTTTAAACATAGGTTGAAAATTGGCATGTATAAAGATGATACATGTACAATTCAAGATATAGAAATAAGAAATAGTATGAGTGCCAATGAGACAACTCTCTATCTAAGTCACAATGTGTAAAAAGTAAACAATTATAGGTCAAAGTACGGCCTTCAACACGGAGCCTTGGCTCACACCGAACAGCAAGCTATAAAGGATCCCAAAATGACTAGTGTAAAACAATTCAAATAAGAAAACCAACGGTCTAATCTATATAAAAAACGAGAAACGAGAAACACTTATGAACCACATCAACAGACGACAACCACTGAACAGGCTCCTGACTTAAGACAGGTGCATATAAATGCAGCGGGTTAAAACGTTTTAACAGGCGCCAACCTTCACCCTAACCTGAAACAGTAGTGTAACATCACAACATAAAAAGTTACACTATAAAATATCAATTGAAATGGCTTAACTCGATCAAAAAGACATATAGACAAAAACAAGTAAACATACACTGAACGAATAAATTTGATCTATGACACAATATGAATACAGTATTAATTAAAAAAAGATTTAAAACAATGTCAAAAAGACAACTCTAACCTGGGACAAAATGGCGTTAAATAAAATAACGTACTCAGGAAAATTTAACTATAATAATTTTGTTGTTAAGAGTACGGAAATATTTTTTATATTTTACAAATTTAATAAATTTGTTGTTCACAGTACAGAAGAGTACAGAAGTGAAAATTTATTGTAATACTAAATACTTATCAAAGGTGGTTCATATTAAAAATAGTGAGACGAGATATAACACAAAATAAGTAAACATTGAATAACAAAAATGCATTACAAACTGTGTCAACAGGTCAAATTAACACGAAAGTACGATGATTTGAGAGTACTCGCAGTTACTGAAAGCTAGTTTAAAGCCAAAAACAATTAATAATAAAAAATCATGCATTAGAGACTAAAATCAATTAAAAAAAATATCATATTGTTTCTAAGTCATCAAATCTCTAAAGAACTGACAACGCCATGGCTAAAAAAGAAAAAGACAAACAGACAGACAGTGCACAAAACACAACATAGAAACCAAAGACTGAGCAACACGAACCCCACAAAAAACTGGGGGTGATATCAGGTGATCCGGAAGGGACAGCAGATCCTGCTCCACGTGTGGCACCCATCGTGTTGCTCATGTTACCCGGTGTACTAACATGAGCAACATGTTATTGTTTCAAATAAAAGCAATTTGTGTGTGTAATTCTGATACTACAAAATAGCCGTAGTTCTGTTCCCCCAAATATACGGGACATGAAGCCGTGACACAGGATACCGAAATTTTAAAGTACCTCTAAAAAGCATTACTATCTTTTAATGTTATCTAATAAAATTGAGAATGGAAATGGGGAATGTGTCAAAGAGACAACAACCCGACCATAGAGCAGACAACAGCCGAAGGCCACCAATGGGTCTTCAATGCAGCGAGAAACTCCCGCACCCGGAGGCGTCCTTCAGCTGGCCCCTAAACAAATATGTATACTAGTTCAGTGATAATGGACGTCACACTAAACTCCAAATTATACACAAGAAACTAAAATTAAAAATGATACAAGACTAACAAAGGCCAGAGGCTCCTGACTTGGGACAGGCGCAAAAATGCGCGGGGTTAAACATGTTTTTTGAGATCTCAACCCTCCCCTATACCTCTAGCCAATGTAGAAAAAACAAACGCACAACAGTACGCACAGTAAAACTCAGTTTAAGAGAAGTCCGAGTCCGATGTCAGAATAGGAAACAAAAGAAAATAAACAAAATGACAATAATACATGAATAACAACAGACTACTAGCAGTTACTGACATGCCAGCTCCAGACCTCAATTAAACTGATTGAAAGATTATGTCTTCATCATATGAGTATCAGGCACAATCCCTCCTGTTGGGGGTTTAGTATTAAACCATCATAAAATATATGAGAAGAACATAACCCGTGTCATGCCAACAACTGGTTTTAGAATAAATATGTTTAATTCCGATGCAAAGACCCTATAAGTGAATCAATATTAACGCCAAAATATGCAATCTTTAATGACCTGACAACAGTATCGTAACTATATCCCTTCTTAATAAGTCTGTTTAAAGGTTTTGTTAGCTTTTGAGGTGAATACTGACATTTTTTGTGCTTTGTAAAGAATATTACCATAAAAGATTGGATGTGAAATACCCGAACGTATAAGATGTCTGTATGTTGAGTTATATTTACGAATGATGTCCTTATACCGATGATAAAATTTAGTAAATGTTTTGACTAGTTTATGATATCGAAAACCCTGGTGTAATAATTTTTCAGTAATACATAAATTTCTCTCGCTAAAATCTAATACGTTGTTACATACACGAGCGAATCGTACAAGATGAGATATATAAACACCATAAGATGGT